GAGGGGCAAGATATCTTTCGGGTTATGATTATTCACCATCAACTCGATAGTCCAACATCGCTTTGCCGATATGAGCTCTTTATCAGGGACTGATGGTCAACGGCTAGACTAACTCCAACTTATCGGCGAAGCCTTCTTGATCTAATCAGTCATGTCAATCCAAAGCTAATCAAGCTCAGCCGACCGACAATGTCTACTTAGTCTAGCCTACTGTCAAAGCCAGACAAGTTCCTACAACCTAACTAAAGAGCAACCCTACGATATGCTCGTATCTGTAAAATACATATAATACATTTTATAGCCACCATTAAAGTAAGGGCAAAAAATATAACATATCTATATTACACTCTAGTCCATATAAATAAGAAGATCATTTTATGAGAATGGAGATGCAAACACAATGTAATATTATTTATTATTATTCACTCATTTCTCTATTTTTTATTTTCTGAGCCTCTAATTATCGGGAAAGTTTGAAAAAACAAATTCATATTCTTTTTACTTTTCAAATATTATCTTTAAAAATCAATAGAATTATATTTTTTCACAAACAAGTAAACGAAAAAATTATTGTATCGGGACACCAAATCTCAATTTGCATCAGGTATCTAATTAAAATTGGTCATATGTTAGTGTGGGTCCCACACTTTTAAAAAACAACTAATAAATACATTTCAATTGGATCCATATTTTGATGTGACCAATTTTAATTGAAGACACGTGTCAAATTCAAATTTCATGATAGAATAATTTCTCTAACTACACTACACTACAAGCCAAGGCAGAACATCTCCATCAACCTCAGTCTCCACACCGCCCAACTCGGCCCCATCTCTTTCCAAATAAATTCTGAGCTTCTCACGCGTCCCAATTCGTTCAAAAAATCAGCTCCCCTTCAACCGCGTACGCGCTCCCAAATTTTTAAACTCCCGAACTATAAAATCCCATTCCCTCCCTCCTCCAAAAACTCCCATCTTTACTCTCCCCACACTCTCCCCCCTCATCCCAATTCCTCTCCACTCCTCCCATGGCCAATCCCGTCGAATCCACCGCCGCCGCCGCCTTCGCCGCCTCCGCCGCCGTGAAGTACAAAGGCGTAAGAAAGCGCAAATGGGGCAAATGGGTTTCCGAAGTCCGGCTTCCCAACAGCCGGGAGAGAATCTGGCTCGGCTCCTACGATTCCCCCGAAAAGGCCGCACGAGCCTTCGACGCCGGCAGTTTCTTACTCCGCGGCCATCGCGCCAGTCTCAATTTCCCGGATCAGATTCAGGACATCTCCATGTACTGCAGTCGCTTGAACCCGACGTCGCAGCAGATACAGATCGCCGCGGCGCGCTACGCCCATGCTGACTATCCGGCGCAATCTCAGCCTTCGGAGCAGCCGGTTTTGCAGCCTGCGGAGTGCTCTCCGTCGCCATCGCCGTCGCTTTCTCCTGCGGCGAATCATTGGGAGTATATGGATCAGTTGATTTCACCTACAGTTATGGGGATTCATGATTTTTCTTCTTACGATTTGACTAACCCGAGTGAGCAATTTGCGCAGATGGATTTGGATGCGGAGAACTGTTACGATTTTGTTCGAAGTTCAGATCTTTGGGAATTTTGATGGCGGAATTTTTTTGCCCTGGGGAAGAGGAAAGTTGGATTTTTGGGGGAGTTTTACTTGAATGGGAGTGTTAAACGGGTTGAACCGGCCGGG